ACATTTAGAAAAGTTTGCCTTTAGTAAATTTTACCTTTTTTCCATAATAAACTTTACAGTATAGCCTTTTTAGTTTGGGCAGTAATTACATACATACACACACTTTAGTGTTATATAGGTTATTTGGGCCACTGGTACTATAACCAAAGTGATAGTCTTCTGAATGTGTTCTGAATCTGTGAGGCTGTGTAGCCCAGTAACATAGTGTAGTGACAGCCTGGAGTCAAATGCTGGCTCCACTACTGCCTCATCTTGTACAAGTTTCCTTTCTCACGCCAACTTAAACACAGTTGTTTTGAGAATTAAAGTAATATACATAGAACATTTGGCACAATACCCGACAAATAGTTTCATAAATGTTGTTGTTATGTATTTGCTTTATGCTACATCCCTAGCTTCTCCATGAGCTAAGAAGTTTTGCTGAGTTACATTAGAAATTACAGACTACACTAAAGATACTGCATACCTTCAGTGTTATTTGTAAAGAAATGGCAAATATTACTTTATCATTTTTGACATTTTTGTTAAATGAGATAATAATCACTGCTATTTGAAACCTGTCATATAGTATTTGAGTCTGTCTGCTGGTCAGGGATATTTGCCTCACTCCAGGATTTAAAGTTCTAGAAAGAGGCCAAAGGCCAGGCGTGGTGGCTCATGCCTGTAATCCCAGCACTTTGGGAGGCTGAGGTGGGTGGATCATCTGAGGTCGGGAGTTACAGACCAGCCTGACCAACATGGAGAAACCCTGTCTCTACTAAAAATAGAAAATTAGCCAGGTGTAGTGGTGCATGCTCGTAATCCCAGCTACTGGGGAGACTGAGGCAGGAGAATCGCTTGAACCCTGGAGGCGGAGATTTTGGTGAGCCAAGTTCACGCCATTGCACTTGAGCCTGGGCAACAAGAGCGAAACTGCATTTCAAAAAAAAAAGAAAGAAGCCAAAAATCTGTTTGGAATCATACTTAAAATAATAGTAGTAGTCATTAACCACCAATAAAATTTACCCATATCTTTGTTTTAACTGTCTATTTTATGAGAATGTAGAATCTACATTCAATTATTAAAATATTTGCTGTCTCCTTTTCTTTTTCAGAGCATGAATAATCTTTCATTTAGTGAGCTATGTTGCCTCTTCTGCTGTCCTCCTTGTCCAGGGAAAATTGCTTCAAAATTAGCGTTTTTGCCACCTGATCCAACTTATACGCTGATGTGTGATGAAAGTGGAAGCCGTTGGACTTTACATCTATCTGAACGAGCAGACTGGCAGTATTCTTCGAGAGAGAAAGATGCTATTGAGTGTTTCATGACTAGAACCAGTAAAGGCAACAGAATTGCCTGTATGTTCGTACGTTGCTCACCCAATGCGAAATACACTTTACTCTTCTCACATGGAAATGCTGTTGATCTTGGTCAAATGAGCAGCTTTTACATAGGTCTAGGATCACGGATTAATTGTAATATATTCTCATATGATTATTCTGGATATGGTGCAAGTTCTGGGAAACCCACAGAGAAGAACCTCTATGCAGACATTGAAGCTGCTTGGCTTGCTCTTAGGACAAGGTAAATTGTGGTTGGACGATATTTTTTATACTCGTGATTGTTAGCTAAAAATATCTTGTGTAAGAATAGAATAAAAGTTGTTTTATTATACATAAGTGCTATATAGAGATTATACTTAACTATTATATACCTGTGAATAATTAAACTTTTAGATTACAGTTTTAAATTTCACATTATAGCAAAACAGTGTTTTTAAAGACAGTTTCAGGTTTGTTTGTCTCCATTAATTTATGTATATATGTATGATTTTTTAAAAAATTTAAATCCTTAGCTGGATGTCGGTGGTGCATGTGTATATAGTCCTAGCTACTTAGGAGGCAAAGGCAGGGGAAATCACTTGAGGCCAGGAATTTGAGGCTGCAGTGCTCTCTGATCGTGGCACTGCACTCCAGCCTAAGTGACAGAGCAAGACTTCGTCTCTTAAAAAGTTAAAAAAAAGAAATTAAATCCAGTGACAAATGTTTGGTTTTGTAAGCTTTCTTATTGGAGTGTGATATAAAAAAATAAACATTTTTTTTATATCAAAGCTGCAAACTTTCAAGGAAATGAGAGAAAATATTGACTTAGCTAATTATTCACTTGATCTATCATTTCTATTAAAATCCTAAGCCAAGATTTTACATTATTTTATGTGATTATTCTTCGGAAGTACAACTTAAAGATGCATTACTGGAACTTTTTCAAATATTCATTCTGTAAGAATGAGATTTTACTTTATATTCTGGATTCCTAAAATTGGGAGAGATGATATCAAGTAAAAAGAATTTTTTAACTTGGGCACAGTGGTTCACACCTGTAGTCCCAGGACTTTGGGAGGTAGAGATGGGTGAATCATGAGGTCAGGAGTTTGAGACCAGCCTGGTCAATATGGTGAAACCCTGACTCTACTAAAAATACAAAAAATTAGCTGGGCATGGTGGCGGGTTCCTGTAATCCCTGCTGCTTGGGAGGCTGAGGGAGGAGAATTGCTTGAACCCAGGAGGCGGCGTTTGCAGTGAGCCGAGATCACGCCACTGTACTCCAGCCCAGGCGACAGAGTGAGATTCCAGCTCAAAAAATGAATAAATAATATTATGATAAACTGATAAAATTTCCTTACTGTGTTATTCTTTGATTATAGCAGAACACATTTTGGAGAACCTAGTGCATTAATCTTTTCTAGTCACCAAGATACCTAAACATTTTTCTTGAAAAAAATCACAATTTGGTAGACTTCAGTGTATTATTAGGTTAGTGTACAATAAACAGATACCTTATTATAAGCTCTTCTTTATATTATATGCAAATAAAATACCTGATTTCCAGGGTGTTTTAGACTGAAGCTATAGGATATAAAGAAAATTTACTGTTTCTAATTTAATGTTTAAATATTAAAGATTTCATTTAGGAAGACTTCCCTCAATTTAAATAATATTAAAATAGTTAATATTATTAAAGGTTAATACTATTAAAGACATTAAAAATATCTTTAAAACTATTTTTCCTTCCAAAGAAATCTAATAAAATTCTACATAAAACAAAGTTCTACATAAAAATTCATTTTTTAGGTATATTGGTATCAGTTCTATCAGGCCTTAAAACAAAAAAAACTGAATGCCAACTTTTTACAGTCAGCCAGTTGAATAAGGTATCATAACTCTAAGAAAGTACTGTAATTAAAAAAAAAATAGCTTTATTTGAGCCATAAGGTTCACACTTTTAAAGTTTAACTTCAGTGGAATAATGAAGTTTTAAAGGGTGCTAAGTTAAAACTCACCTTCATTAGTAGTGCTTCCCAGTAACACAAAAAGGTCACTTTACTCAAACAAAACATATTAGTGTTCAGTTCAGTGTTCTGTGTGTATGTGAAAAAAATCCCATTTTTAAGTGGTCAACTTTACTGGGTTTTTTTTGTGTGTTTTTTTTTTTTTTTTTTTTTTTTGAATCTTGGCATTTATCAATTTGAAGAATACTTTCAAAAATGATTTTCAGTCTTGATTAATATTTTTAACATATGTGATAGCCAGGATTAATGAGTAATGGGCAGATTTTATCAGTAATCCCATACTATTTTTAGTACTTATATTTTAGAATTTTAGACTTCTGTTTTCTTTTTTTTCTTCTTCTTTTTTTGTTAAGCTACCAAGTGCTGTAGACTTCTGTTTTCTTTCATGCTGAACCCAAAATATAGTTGGAGGAGTTTCGTAAGTATAGGTACTTTAGGAAATATAACTTATCTGAGCCCATGTTTCCTTGTCTGTTTAATGAAGAGATTGAGAAAAGATAATTTAACAGTTCTAGAATTCAGTCATCTAATGAAATGTGTCTAATTAGAATATATGCCTTTTAATTTTCTTTGCCTGATTAAAAGTTAAGGTGGAAGTAACCAGGAGAAGAGATAAAATAAATAATGAACTTAAATAATTATTATTTGAATGATGTCCTTTTTGGGAAAATTGGATATCCCTAATAACTCCAATTTCTGACCTTCTGTTGGACTAAAAGAAGCTAAGGGCATGGCATTCACTATGCACCTTTCCCACAGTGTCCTTGAGCTCCTCATCTGTGTGCTTCAGAGAAAAAAAAAAAACACTGAACTGGGAGTCAGTATACCTGGGTTCTAATTACAGAGCTGTCACCTACTGTGACTTTGAAGATCTACTCATTAGGCAGCTGGACTCTAGATTAAATGGTCTCTAAACTCCTTTCTAGCTCATACTGTTAGGCAATTGTTACTCTTGTGAGTCCTCTAATGCTTAATTGTCAGCTACCTCTGTGACTCCATCCTGGAGCATTGTCATTGCTAGCTTTAGCCCGAATTTCATGATTGCCACCAACAAGGCTGTTATTCAGCTGACAGCAACAATGCAGCCTGAAGAATTGTGGTTATGCTGCAAATGTTCATTCTCCTAATTTGTTCATTCATATGAAATATGTGCAGCTAGGTCTGTTGTAAAGAAAAAAGGGGTTTCTGAGTTTGCTAACATTTAGAGTCAATTTGGAGTAGACAGAGCTCCACTTTCTGTGTCCTATCCAAATGCTTGTATAGTACTGATTTGAAGAAACTATGTGGGGAGAGCTGTGTTACTACCTGTATAGTTGAAATAGCATTATTCCCCTGGAAGAGAACACATGGACAATTTGCCTCACTGTTTGCTGGTGAATATTCAGATTCTCAGAAAGATCTTTTACCTTTGCAAAAGATTTCCAAAAGAAGCTGCTGTGCTTTTAGCTGTCAGAGTGACTGCTGTCTGCATTCTAAGTGGAAAGATGTATTTAATGTCACATAACCTTTAACCCCATATTCGTTAGCTCAGGTGGCACTGCACTGGCACTTGCAGTAGTTTACATTTGGAATAATTATACTTTAGACAAGTAGCGTGCAGTTCCTTGAACAAACTAGGTACCCAATAAATACTTATTGAATCAGTGAGTTTTCACCTGTTTAAACCTGCAGCCATTTGAAAGGGATTACCTAGTACCTTGAGATTAGCATGAAGTCTATTCATAAATAACTGGACCATATGGTGTTTGGAATTCTTTATGTTTTCAACCATTAGTCTATTTCTACAACTAGGCAAAGACAAATTTTAAGAAAAATTGTAAAATCATAATTTGCTCTTGACTAAAACCATACATATATTTTATTCATTTCATATCATAACTATATGTAGCAGTTCATCAGTATGACCAATTTTGGAAATTAAAATGAGCCACTCTTGATATATGGAGAAATAAATAACTTTTGTTACATTGAATAGAAAATAAATATGACCTATTCATTCAATATCTATTCATTAAAATATGTGCTCCAAACTTAGTCAACAGTATGCTAGAGTGAAATACTATAGTGTAATAAATTATTTAGTAAGTTTAGTTCTTAAGATTGAAATCTTAAAATACTTCAGCTATTACTCTTCTAAAAGATAAAGTAGAAACACATGAAATAAGCTGGTGATACAGACTTTATTGTAACGTTAAAAATAGCAGTAATAAGTTTAAAATATGGATTAGTTAACATTGTCTTATTCTAAGATCAAATCCTTCAGAATGATGGAACATTTCACAGCATTCCAACTTTTTTTTTTTTTTAATGCCTGAACTTTGTAGATATGGCATTCGCCCTGAAAATGTGATTATATATGGCCAAAGTATAGGTACAGTACCATCTGTGGATCTTGCTGCTCGATATGAGAGTGCTGCTGTTATTCTTCATTCTCCTCTGACCTCGGGAATGCGAGTTGCCTTTCCTGATACTAAGAAGACCTACTGTTTTGATGCATTCCCAAAGTAAGTAGCAATATTCAAAGTAGTTCAGTTTCCAAGAAACTTGGGGATTTTTCATCATTTAAAGTATTCATGATACAGTTCACTCAGCCATAAGCTTCTATTTTATATATATTAGCACATAGAAATTAAGAAAAATTAATTTGTAGAGAGGGTATTAGCAGGTGACCAGTCAGGTAAATAAAAATAAAATTATACTTCTTTCTAGCTGAATGGTAAAAATGATAGGGATGTGTCTGAGTATCTCTATGTCAGTGTTGTTGCCAACTTACATCTCTGTCAAGCTATCTCTTTCATTTCTGGTACACCAACAGAGAGCAACACTAAAAAATAAACTGGCCAGGCACAGTGGCTCACACCTATAATCCCAGCCCTTTCAGAGGCTGTGGTGGGCGGATCACTTGAGGCCAGGAGTTTGAGACCAGCCTGATGAACATGGTGAAATCCCATCTCCATGAGAATTACCAAATTAGCCAGACATGGTGGTGCACGCCTATAATCCCAGCTACTTGGGAGTCTAAGGCATGAGAATCCCTTGAACCTGGGAGACACAGATGATGTCACCACTGTACTCCAGCCTTTGTGATAGAATGAGACCCTGTCTGCCCCTCAAAAAGAAAGAAACAAACAAACAAAAAAACTGTTTGAAAAAGATAATATATTTCTTTTTATTTTTTATTCAAGTTTTAATTCCTCTACTGTTGACCATCTTTGTGACAGCAGGTAGTAAACCCAAATATTTATTCTTACCAAATGCAGCCTTAGATTATTTCATTGATGGTTTTTTCCTTTTCAAAATTCCATTTTCATTTATGTTCATTATAATACCTTTTTCTAGGTATTCTTAAAAAGGTTTGTCCGTGTAGTTTCTGTCTTAAGTGTTTGTTTTGATCCCTATGTTATTTGAAGTATTATCCTCTCATGTCTGATAATCTTGGTTATCTGTTTATATGTAAGTAAAGGAGCCAACCAACTCTTTATTCTTACATATAAGCAGACAATTAAGATTTAGCAGATCAACTAAAGGGCTGATCTGATATAATCTCCAAAGAAAGCTCTTTCTAAAACTTCCTCCTGGAGGACAGTGGCCTGGCTACCAGCATTCTGGGAGGCTCATAGGGAAAATGGGTTCGTATAGTAGCCAGTATATAAATATGTATGTTTCTTTGGTCTTTATGATACCTCTGTCCTAAACTCTGGTAGTCGTCTGTCTAGTCCACAGACATTCCAGTCTTTGGGGAAGGCAGTTTCTGGGTATATGAACAGGCAAAAGGACCTGGGAAGAGGAGGCTAACTTTCTTCCACAAACTGAACAAATCCTATATATTTCAGTCACCCCCTTCATCACCATGGTAATTCCTTAGCTTTCTAGGGTATTCTATGGTATAAATTGGTTTCATTCATCGCTTTACCTTCTCTCTGCCTAAAATTGTGTTTTCTTCTATCCTTGTAATATTTCACGCATTAATCTTCTTTCCGGCTCCAACATTTTATTGTATTTTAGTACATTCTCCTTGGTTTTGTATCTTTATCCTCAAACAAGAACAAAAAACATAAAACATTTTGCTGTCATTTTTCTAGGAGACTAGGAGAAAGAATATAATAAGTGCAGAAAGTGAAGTTAGCGCATACTTGAAATAGTTCTTAAGCTTTTTCCTCTTCTGAACACCTAAGTTTCTCGGTGCCAAAAGTCAACATTGTAGAAAGGTAAAATAGAGTGACGAGCAAGAGTGACTGTACCAAAACCATCAAAACCAGTGCATGAAAATAACTTCCTCAGTTAATCTTAAGGTAGGGAGTATGTAAAAGGCAATTTTTGAATATTATTGGAAATTCAAGAGACATTCATACCTTCTGAACTGATTCAAACAATTCTCGTGTTTGAATTGTGTGTCTGATATAGCACAAGAATATTTGTTTTATGTTCCTTTACATAGCTAATTTATTGCATTTTCCCCCTTCCTTTTTCCCTGCAGCATTGACAAAATCTCTAAGATAACCTCTCCAGTATTAATAATTCATGGGACTGAAGATGAAGTCATTGACTTTTCACATGGCCTGGCATTGTTTGAACGTTGCCAAAGACCTGTGGAGCCTCTCTGGGTTGAAGGAGCAGGTCACAATGATGTGGAACTTTATGGACAGTATCTTGAAAGGTTGAAACAGTTTGTTTCACAGGAACTGGTAAATTTGTAAAATATTCTGTAAATTTGCTACTGGGCTTTCCTTTCTTGCTGAACTGCACTCTTTGGTAAATAACATAAAACCTGAAGGTTTTGTTCGCAAATCATGTCAGTTGCCTTCATAAATGTACAGGTAATGATTTGTTAACAGACTTAATGAAGGTTTTAATTACCAGAACTAAAAACTGGAAATAACAGTATCATGCAGTCAGGCTGTGCAATTTATATTTTTTCTGTGAATTTTTTTTTAACATCAAGATGAGTACTGTATGAGATTTTAATTAATTCTATAAGATCAAATGCTGTAAAAGTATTGCCAAATGCTTTTGCATACTAGGAACAAATTTATAAATATTTTAAAAATATCTCAATGTACTAAATCTTATCCTGGTGTACAACTGTAATATTCTTTTGAAAAAAGCTGTGTATCTAAAGCAATGTAAGTACTCAGAATGAACTGTAAAAGAGATTTAAAAACATGCAAGTTCACTAGAATTAACCTAAACCCTGTTGTACAGGGATAGAGGTTTAAAGTTATTTTATTGTACAATACATTGAATTTTCTGTATACTCTGATTACATACATTTATCCTTTAAAAATGATGTAAATTTTAATTTTTATGCCATCTGTTAATTTACCAATGAGTTACCTTGTAAATGAGAAGTCATGATAGCACTGAATTTTAACTAGTTTTGACTTCTAAGTTTGGTACTGTGAGGCAACTACTTAAAATTTTCATGCTGGTTATTTAAAAGGCATTTAGAGATTTCAAGAATGATTTTGTATGCAATGTTTTAAGTTTTGACTGATCTCATAGAATTGCAGTAGTCTTCATTTTATGAAATCCTGAAAGTCCATTAGTTGTTCTTATAGACCATAAACAGACTGGCTATCTGATCCCTTTTCACTAGCCATTTTTTTTTTTTTTTTTTTTTTTT